GTTCAAGATGATAAATTAATAATGACGTTCACCTGTGTTAGATTGATTATAAATCGGATTTGTTACTAAATGATAAATGCATAAAATCGTTATCAAAGTTATCCTTCAATTCCAACTAAAATTTATTGACAATATATTATATACACGTAGTTTTTACCTAATGCTCCTGAGTATTCAGTTTCAAGTGATTTTGACATATTAGTGGTGGATCCATTATATTGTTTGGCTATTATTGAGAATATATGTCAGTTCGATAAATCATATTCCATAAATCATACATTTAAATTGATAACTTACGTGTTGGTGGTAAAAAACTATAAATATCTCTAGTTGGTGATGAGATTTTATAAGTTTCTTTTGACCTTGGTGAGTATTTTGTTGTATATGAAGTTCGTGTATTTGATGTAAAGTTATAAGTATTTCGTGAAGTTGGTAAATGGTTGTGATCGTCTCGTGAAGGCTGCAAGTTGTTTGTTACATCTTGCGAAGGCTGTGATTGATTGTCTGTATCACTTTGCGATTGTAGTAATTCTTCCATAATATCTGTATATACATATAATTTAACTTTAAAACATTTTGTTATATTTTTAAAAGATAAATGGTGATTCTTACCTTGATCATAAATTTCATAAATTGAACGCGGAAGATTTAACGAGAGATACTGCCGAAGCCGCATTTCTTTTATTTCTTTAAAATCCAATAATCGACTGTGATACACTGCCCCCGGATGTGTCACTTTTTTATTATGAAGCTTCGCGAAACGCGATTTATAGCTATTTCTTCGCATGCACCTATCAAGTGAATCGTCTACCAGCCAGTGATAAATGGTTTTTGAAATTTCTGCAGCATCTGGACGATTTAGCGGATTATCGTCCCAGCAAGCTGTCATAAGTTCTGAATAAAATGACGGCGTACCAAATGGAATTGGCGGTCTTCTTCCATTGCATATATCCTTTACTAAATCTAAATCATGGGATATATTATCATATGGCCTTGTACCTGAACAAATTTCCCACATTATTATACCAAAACTATATATATCTGATTGTTTAGAGTAATTCTGGCCTCTGAAAAGTTCTGGTGCGACATAAGGAATAACCCCATAGACTTCTTTTTTACGGGCAAGTCTACCAGCAGGCCCACAAAGTCCAACATCTCCAAGGACAAAATGTGTTCGATCAATGTTCATAATATTACCACTATGCAAATCACCATGAATAAGATCTCTTTTATGCATTTCTCCAAGTGCACGTGTGATCTGCTTAATTATTTGAATCTTTTCCTTCCAAGTCAATCTTTTATGTTTTTGAAGATATGTATATAAATCTCCAAAGGGTGCATATTGAGTAACCATCATGAATTCCCCTGTATTTGGTTGTTGAGTGATTCCATAACATCTCAAAAATTGGGGCTGCAAAAACAGAACCCAATGCGATTTTATCTAAAATGATATACAAATATATGTATAATCTTAATTACAATAATAATTATAATAATAATAATAATAATAATAATAGTGAATAATAAAACCAACCTCATTTAAAAAATCAGTACTTATGTCTTGAGAGTCTTTCAAACATTTCAATGCAATTGTTTGTCCGGCAGTTATCCAAGTCGCTTCGTATATAGTAGAAAACCCACCACAATTAATCTGTTTGCATTTTATAAATTCATTAAAAGGAATCCAAATTAGATGCTGCGTGGGATTAGGATATTCCAATCTCATTTCGTGTACAAGTTCATCAATTTGCTTATAACCACTGCGCCAATCCCGACGTGCACCGGTGCTTGTTCGGTCTGGCGTATTTACGGATGTTATGTTCCTTCTTAATACAAGACCATTATCTTGATTATTATTATAATCGCCGTCATTGGTTGTTATACCGTTAATTGATCGTTCCGTTATTTCCGCATCATCTTGATGTTTTACTGAGAATACTTTACGAAGTATCTTACTAACAAATCCCATAATTTCGGAATTAGTTGACATATAACCAATTTTTATAGTCAAAAGAAGAATGTTAAGAGTAAAATGATGGAATGAACAGATTAATAAGTTATTGATAAGGCGAGAAAAATATTTGATTAAGGGTTGATTAAGGGATGATTAAGGGATGAATAAGGTAACGAAAAGTAAAGGATGGATAAAAAGGAATGTAATAAGATTTATACTAATTTTTGACTAGATCATGGGAATTGCATGATTAAGTTCAAGAAAAAAAAAAAAAAATTAAATTACTATAAGAACTTACTGGAACATTGAATCCCTGCTAGTCATTTTAAACGAGAAACCTGTAAAATGCGGCCAATGTTTGGGTTCCCAAATAACAACTTATATGACTCCTGTTCTATATAAGGGTTGGACAAATTTCCATGTTGGGTTGGGATTACAATAGTAATGATACACTAATATATAAACAGGCAAAAACATCCGAAAATACCCTTGCGTTGATACACTCGTCCTGAATTAGTATGCATTGATCAAGATTTATAGGTTTGTACGATGAATATCTGCCCATATTAAGTTAGACTTGTGCTAAATTATAATACATGCGTAAAAAATTAATTCATACCAAAACATTCCCATTAAGTACGTACGTACGTCCGTCCTTTATCATGTTTATTTCAATTTACGCATATAAAGCTTTGATAGAATGCAGTAAATCATAGGAAATGAAATACCACATTAATGATCGTAAGAGAGAACCACGAAACTGAAATTATCATCCTGGCTGAACCTTATTTTTTATTTTATACGTAGTAAATGTAAGCCACCCTCACAAACATTAATGTCATTTAAGGTAACTGGTGACAACGGACTTCCAAATACGTAGTAGATTTATGATAATGCATCAAACGAATTTCTCGATTTATATAATTTAATAGCGATAGAATTTCATTTCATTTGGCCTGAATGAAAGCTCTAGTATACTTCCATCTATATACCCTTCAAATATAGATCCTCCCGCAAGTTTACAAGCAATAGTAATTCTTATAAAAATGGCTTACAATTTCATAAAACCATAATTTTATCAATTTTATCTGAATACCCATCAGCTAGTTTTATACAGGTTGACTAATCAGGGAACGTCTAAAGTGGGAAGTGGTTATACAAAATCATGGAACTATCACTATTATTAGAAATTTTTTTATTGTTTAAGGTTAAGGTTAGCTATAGCAAGGATAGGCACCCCAACTTTTTTTGCCGGTTTTATTATAAGTTTCATAATGCATATCGAACGACCTATTAATTACTATATTTAGCCGTTTATTGCTATCGCTATTTGTGGTTACTCAAGTGGCAAATCTGACTGGTTATGTTCTACGTAGTGACATGGCGTGGTGTTATTGAAATAAAAAAACATCAACAGATTATGTATAACGTGTCTTCAATTATACTTGTGCATGTACTGTATACACTTAAATGCGCTAGTTCTTTCAAAGTTAAAAGATGGATATTCTTTGATCTCTTTATAATAAAAGAAAATTTCACGTAGTCTAATTAGCAAATTACCTAAATGTTTGTTTTTATTAATACAGAAATTTAAGTTTTATTCCAATCTCAAGTATTAGTTATAAAAGTATAACTACAGTATATAGGGGATGAGTTAATAAAACCAAACAAATTTTTTTCATCAATCAAGTCTTTTAAAAAATTTAAACAAAAATAATTTTACCAAATTTGATAAAATTTTTTTAAATTAATTCTATATGTTTGTAAAATTTATTTTTAAAAATTTTTTTATTAAATTTAATTAAAAAATTTTTATTATAAAAATTGTTCTTAGGGAACTTCCACTTATTACGTAAACATAGCCCCCCTCCAGAGTTAGTCATTTGACAATTACAAGTTCAAAAGTAATCATAATATAAACTCTATACGATTGGTTATTTTATAGCTTGCAATTGTCAAACGATTGATTACTTTAGAACTTGTAATTGTCAAATGACTGACTCTGGAGGGGGGCTATATTTACGTAATAAGCGGAAGCTCCCTTGGTTTTTATTAACTCACCCCCATATATACTGTAACCTAAAACCCAACATATTTTAGTCTTATAAATCTTATTTTGGATTTCCAGAGGCAGTTTTGGTTATTTCTACTGCAAAAAATATTTTCTTAATAAGATTTATTATAAAAATTTTTAAGTTGATTTGAAAGGTGATTTGTCGATCTGGAATTAAAGAATTCTCTGATCAATATTTTTATCATTTGTATATCGATAGTAAATTTCTAGTTCTAGACCACCTCTTATTTGTTTTTGGAAAGTGCGACTAATAAGTTTAACCAGTTTTGATAATACCAATTAAGTACTTAAATTGTATTAATTGTAGTTTAGATAAGTTGGATCTTATGCACTATAAATGTGCATATCCGCCAGGGATTTTTTTTTAATATTTTTTTATATTTGCCCACCTGTACTGCAGTTCATCCGATAATTTTTAAAAATATGGTTGTAACAAAAGTTGTAACATGAATTTTTTTTAAAAATTTTTTTGCTAGTTTACTATTAAAGTTTATATATTATACTCTTTATAACTAATAGTAACAGTAAAAAATTTTTTTAGATTTTAGTTTATAATTATAATAAGAATAACAGTACTATAAAGGCTTATTTACTGTATATTAGAATTAAAATTTTAAAAAAAAAAACATGATAAATAGTAAGGTTATTGTTATTTTTTTTATAGTAATTCGGCAATCCTGCATCTGTTTATTTAAGATTAAACTATTCAAAAAATTTACATAAATTTCTATCTCTAGTTGTAACTAATCTAACCAAACAGATAGCTCATCTAGCTTATACCCAGGTGTGACCTGCCTTAGTAGCCATTGGCCTCTCTTCGGATTCCTAACTTACTAGGAATTTATTTTTTTCTGGTCATAGGCTAGCAGCTACATGCCTTGTTAGCATTGCTTTTTATTGTTATTTCTGTTCTTGCTTTGCATTTTACTAGTGATGACTATATTAAGGTTATTGTTATTAAATTTATAAATTAGAGGTTTTAACAAACATATTTTTTAAAAAAGCTAATTAAGTAAGAAAATTACTATTTCCTCAATTATAAATTGCTATTTCCATAATAGTTATACAAAAATTTTTATTTTTAGCATTTAAAATAAAAAATATAATAAATTAATATAAAAAAGTTGATTTTTAAAAATTTAAAGAAGTTTTTATTAA